GCCCAGGTGAGGATTTGAGAAGCACCCTACGAATGAATCGGATTCGCAGTGGTCCAAAGAGTGAAGTTCTGGTGGTACTTCAGAGGATGGACTTTTTAGTTTCAGTGTTGCCTGATTTGCCATAGAGTGAGTGGATCATAATTTGTAGTAGGAGTCTTAGAAATGATACCTAGAATATGACCAGCATGGGTACATTGTGTATGTAATGTTATCAAACCTCTTCAGAGGGCTGGGAATGCCTTCAGTATATCTGAGAGAGACTAAAAGTGCAACAAATGCTACGGGAAACCAGTTTACTAAGGTTTTTCTACCCCGCTTAAAACTTATAGATTTCTGAAAATTTCCCTGGCTTTTAGGTTGTGAGCATTTTTAATTAAAAACTGGAAATGAAGCATGGAAAATGATCGATAATAGTAAGGGACTCTTCGTTTGAATGGTGAAAGATTCCCGACCTGTAGAAATCTAGGCCATGCTAATTAAATTGTAATGAATTTTCATACCCTTTTTAAATAGTGACCCAACTTAACCTTAAAGTTTCAGTCATCGTTAGCCTTTTTAAAAAATCTTTGTCATCTATTTAATTGTCATTACTTCTTTAATTGCAGCCCCTGGCTTACAGTTTCTTTTGGTTCTGCTTATTTTTGTTTGTTTGTTTGCTATGTCGTTAGCCCCTGGAAATTAATAGCTATAAAAGTTAGGCAATGTCACAGAATTTTAAGGCTTTATTTATAATTTTGGGAAGGTGTAGCTGCTCTTCATGTTCATTTAAAAACAATAAATGGTTACAAGAAACATGAGTTTCTTTTCCATTTCTATATATGTTTTCTAAGTGGGGTGCCATGTCACCCAAATAACATAAGATAATGATTCAAAATCATATGTAATTATTTTCATCATAATAGCATTGACTCTGTTTTAAAATTCATCAATTGATATGTAAGTTCTCACTCAGTTTTTATTTTCCTGGGTTGTGCTTCTAAAAGTAAGACTAGTAGTTGGTATTCTGCAGTGCGTCTGAAGGTTTGGAAAGTTGAATATCAAGACTTGCTTTTGAAATATTATCATTTTATTAGTGACAATATACATACTTCCTGGATATTTCCCTTGTAAAGATCCTGAAAGTGATGGGCCTCAGGTTTTCTGCTGTTTGTATAATACAATTATTTGGGTTACTTAAAACAAAATTGGGTTTTGAACCATTTATAGTTTGAGAGGTACACAAAGACTTGTTCTGAGCACAGATGAATGAAGGTACACTTGTTGGCCACATCTCCCCTGTTTTAAACCATCTTCAGCAAAACTAGGTTTATCCTTCTGATCACATGTCAGAGCCCCCACTAGCCTGGGCTCCTTCACGATTTCAGAGATAACCACCTAGACATGGATTTGTATGGGTTTTTGCAAAAGTAAACTATTTTGCCATAATCTGGTAAGAAAACAAGCTTTCTTTTCCAGTTTTACATGGGAATCCCAAATTGTATAAATTTCAAGCCTCTCAAAACCAAAGTCCACCCCTTGCTTTAATTATACCCCTTGAATTATTATTGAGGTTGAAGATTTTCTAAACGATTGTCAATAGTCACACATTGACCTAGGACCCAGTCTTTGCTCCCTGTCAGCTTTACCCTGACATGGTGAGCAGGAATTGTGGGGAGCCCCAGGCTAATAAAAGCCTAGCCCTTCATCTGGGGCTGCCTACCATCCACCTGAGGTGGACTCATCTCTCTGTTCTTTTTCCTTTATCTCCTGGCATCGCTTTTCCCAGTCTTTACATCTAGACAGACTGAAGCAGGTAGAGCTCAGCCCTGAAGTCTGCATCCTTCTAAGAATCTGAGGACGCACAGTGAAAACCACTGGATGTTATCCTATGTAGTACTTTCAGGGGAAATATTGTAATAAAGTTGTTAACTCAGTTATAAACTTCAGGTATGGTCATTGTATCTCTGGTATGGTCACTGTGCCTCACAGGCTTAACAGTTTCCTCATTGATTGTAACAGTCATTCTGAGCTGTCCGTAATAACATGCTTTGCTGACAGAGTAGTAGATTAAACAGCATTTCCTGAGTTTTCTGTAGATGGGTGAGAGACAGAAGGACAGGTAAGAGGCCGGGCAGGCTTTCCCACTTGCCAGGCCCTGCACCCTTGTCCCTCCATGATCTCACCTGATGTTACTTTGTTTCTTTTAAATGTTTACTTTTCTTGGTACATGTTTACAGTATGTAGTGATCCCATTCATCCTGGGAAAGTGGTATATGAACATAACACATTTTAATTGTTACATATAATTTTTAATGATACATACAATATTAAAATGTAGTACCGTAAGTCCTATTCATTTAGTTGTTTTATTCTGTACACCTTGTTTTTTTAAATAATTTGGAAATAATTACACATTTAAAGAGCTACAAAACTAGCTATTGTACTCAAGGATTGAAATGAAAATGATTATATATAGGACACATTAATTTACAGAATTATTTTATAATAGTCACCCAGAGTCAAACACGAAAAGTGTAGGAAGTCTGTCCACACACTAAAGACCCCAAAAAATCCTTTCAAGGCCTGGATCACATGGCAGCACCCTGTATGAGTTCAGCTGAAGATCTAAAGCCCTTGACAATGTCTCATGCAAGTCTGTTTCATAGATCCATGCTGGGAAAGCCCAAAGGTCATCGTGGAAGCTAGAAAGTCTGCACCAGTAGGATGAAGGATCTGTGCCAGCAGGCTGAGGGATCTGCACTGGAGCCAAGAAGTGATGCTCAGAAAAGAACCAGGGTTCCTCTGAAAAGTACCTCTGTCATCCTCAGTGACGAATTTGGGAGCTCTACTGACAATGAAAACAGCTGAGTTCATATCAGGAAAGAAGCGTAACACCTCCAGAAGAACCAACAGCAACAGGGGAACTGACAGCACCAACTCTTCCTCTCCAGTTCTCCTTTTTCTCTTGGTGACAACCCTCAGATGGGCCACCCACACTCAGCGCAACACTGATTCCATTCAGCTGGTATTACAAATTGACCACCTCTTATCCATCCGCCACACCAGTACAGAGAAGTCCCATGTCCTCTGTACCCCGTTTCCCTCAGTGGTTACATTTTATATACCTACAGAATATTATCCAAACCAGGAAATCCAAAACTGGGATTCTGGGGAGGGAAATGGCAGGATGTGATCACAACATCTTTTCATGAGAAGCAGAAGTAATAGGCACTTACCTGTACACAGGGCTGCCCTGAGTTATAATTCTCTGCTTCTTAAATTGCTACGCATTAATGAAGCTCAAGCCGCTAGCACTGCAGGATGTGTGTGTCAGCTCCCTTCCATTTTATTTTATGTGCACATTCGTGTAGATGCCACTCATCTAACCCCACATTAACTTCCTGGTTTTGGAAAACTTAGAACAAGAGGCAGATTCGAAGCACACAACCTCCACCACCAGGGAACTGGCCGGCTGCCTCTAGCGTGTGACTCAGGGAACTCCTAGCCTCACAGGATGCCAGTAGGATGCTAGGAAAATGGTGTTGGTGTTCTGTTTTCCTAGGGTAAAATTCAGTGGGGAAACACCAGGATGTGATCTTCTCAAGTACAAAACTCATGAAAACATTGCTAGGCTGGTGTGCAGGGTCAGACCGGAAGTCTGTTTTCATGCGTACTGTTCTGTGGAACTCACTCTAAGAATATTATTGCAGCCACCAACCATGGATCAGACTGCTGTCATGAAGCTTAGCAAGAAAATTCCTTTTCACACAGTAATGTAAATCCTGGGGATTTAAGGTGTAAAATATCTACTCTAATTACTCCAGGCTTGGTTAATGGAACCTACAGATCTTTTGTTTTGTTTTGTTTTGTTTTCTGGAAAGTCCCAGGTCTTTCTTATGAATCTACATTGTTCTGTCTTTGAAAATGATGTCTCTGCTATGAATTTCAAAAGCTTATTTTGAAGCCTTCCTTGTGTTACTCTTTCCCTGAGGGTGGTACATGGGAGAAGCTGTCTTCGCAGCCTCCACTGTAGAGAAAAAGATAATAGAAGCAAGTAACGTCTGAGAATAACAGCCTTGTAATATCATGAAATATTACTGTGTTACATCTGTTTAGAGTTTTGTCTGTACAAACTAGAAATCATGCTTTTTAGGGAATAAAGCAAGCAAGAAAGTTACTTGTGTCGTTATAAATATCTTATTTGTCACGCCTCCGTGTGAAGCTGTATATTCACAAGTAATTGAGTTTGGAATAATTTTCAGGAGTTTCTTCAAGAATCATCATTAGGTTCTACTTGTTAGTCTAGTTTTAGTTTCCAGTTACCCAGAACTTGGAAATACGGCAAAGGAAGTCTCATGGACCAGTAGTTAACAAGACCACCCACGACTGTGTACTTACATAGTTTGTTGACTCGATAAGTATTGTGAAAAAAAGCCTAGATTCCATGACATCATGTGTTAACGTGTAGATTTTTGTTCCATACAGTTCACATGGTTTCATTCCACAAAACAGGATTATCTTCCCTCTGAGACATTGCCCAGTGTTTCTGCTTGACTCAGAAACTTTATTCCAAACCCCGTCTCACTGCCTTTAAATGCTTCCCATGGCCATCCTCCTGGTCCTCTCACTGAAGAGGATTTCTACATTTGTTCATGCTGTGTTCATGAAGCAAGTTCTGAAATTTGGGGAAATGAAGCTATGGTCTGAGTATTCACACAGTCTTTCCGACAGCATCTTTGTCTCCCGCTACATACACATGCAGATCAGAGTGTTGCTGGCCAAACGTGGTACAGGGGAGGCACTCGGATAACCTGAAATGCAGTCTCCCCGCCTCTCAAGGCTGTATTCTGTTTTAAAAATGGATTGGTGCACGCTCGCGTTACATAATGACTACCTTCACAGAGGGTACTTGGCCCATGTACCTGACACAGTCTAATTCTTTCTTATATCCTCTTGTCCAACCCTCCTACTGCTCTTGGACCCTTTCTCACTTGCAGAAGATGCTTTTTCTTTTATCTATCTTTTGTTTTGCTCTTTGTTTGTACTTTGAGTTTCTCTGGTGAGAAACCATGTGGCACTTAAGCTCATGTCTCTGCTTTATTTCACTTTACATGTTTTCTAGGTACATCCATTTCTTACCAATGACTCAGGTTTATCATTCTCTACAGCAGAGTAATATTCCATCATGTATAAATCTCATATTTTTCTTCTCCATTCATCTGTGGATGGACATACAGTCTGCTTCCATGGTTCAGCTGTTACAAACTGTGATATGGCAAACATGGGTGTGCATGGACTGCTGGCTTCTCTTTCCAGGAGTTTGGATCAAAGTTCCACTACTGAGACTTCTCAGTTCTTCAGTATTCTCACTGCTTCTTCTCTTAACACTGCATGTTTTTTTATGATGAAAGCTGAACCCGTGGACTTCTGAGAGTATGCAGCTTGCAGAACTGCTGTTGGCTTTCTTTATATCATGAAAATGGTACTGTGAAAAACCTAAATTGGCAACAGAAAATCCACTCATTACAATTAGCTTATTATTTAATTTCAGAAGCTAAATATTCAATAAAAATACTTAAAAGTCATTGAGCTGGGCTACTCATCATAAGGAAAAGAGTTGCACATTTTAGTGGTCACTTCTGCTTGGTAAGAAAGTCGTGACTTATCAGGCATAGATAGATGATAGATAGATAGATAGATAGATAGATAGATAGATAGATAGACAGATAGACAGACAATTTCGAGGGTGGAGAGAGAGAAGGAGATAGAGACACAGACAGAGATAGAAAGAAAGCCATGAATCATTCATATACCTATCCACATGTATACATGAAGGCTATAAGCTTTCAGTAAATTTTTCCATGAAACTTACAAGTTTTAAGGAACTCAATATTAATAACTCCTCATGGCTATACCAGCTAGATTCTCACTAAGGAAAAAAATGAAATAGTTTGTATTTTAAGTCCATTTTATGCCGTATTTCTACTGTACAGTGTTAGTGTAAATGCAAGAAAAAATTAAGAAAGGAAAGTGATCTAATAGACCTTAGGCGAGAAAACAAAATTTCATTTAGATTTATAATATGCAATTATGCATTACTATGCAGTTATATTGTGTATAAAAATTATTAGAACCATTCATAGAGTTGATAGAGGAAATAGTGATATTATTTGAATATCTACCGAGTATTTTCCTTGACACATTCTTTTCAAGCCTACAGCAACCTGAAACAGTGAATGTTTTTCTGAAGCTGAGAGATGGGAGCCTAGATAGAGCGACTTCCTGCATTGTGCAGCCTTGGTGTGTACAGAGGGCATTTGATGCAGGTCTGTTTGACTCCAAGGCAGGAATCTCTCCATTTAAGCACAAGAAAATAGCCCTGAGCAGAAGGTCCACAGTGTAACAGAATCCTTTACATTTCTGTCATAAGACAAATAATTTCCACATACTTTTGAGTAAGAGCTTCTATCTCCCATGAATATTTTTAAAATTGCAACTCTTTGGAAGTCTCAAGTAAAAGAATACTCTTTCTTTGACATCTTGTGTAATTTTATACTTTGTATGCACCTAAATTATCCTGGGAAGGATTTTGGACATGGAATGTCCCCTAGTCTGGTCAAAATAAATCACTTTTCATTAATAAAATAGTCTTCCCGTATCCATGGAGGGCATATGTTTCTATACCCACAATGGGTCTGAAACCATAGATTTAATCAAACCCTGTGTGTCTGTGTTTTAGAAAATACAGTATACCCTGTACATAGTATTTGATTAAATCTATAGATATATGTAATGTTTAATTTTTGTATTGCCCACAGGTAATACTAAATAATAATGATCAGGACAATTGTAGTAATTACACTGTAGTAAAAGATACTTAAAATGTATCAATCATTTATTTGTGGATATTTCTCCATGTAACATCTTGAGAGTTCAGTTGGCCTTGGAAAAATGAAACTTTAGAAGATGAAGCTACATATGAGGAGACTGCTGTTTTTACATAGACGATGAGAACCTCTTCTTCCCCAGTAGGTTTCATTCACTTCTTCCTTCCCCAAGGCAACCCTCTGGGCACTGTCCTAGGTGCTGAGTATAACATGGTAGACAAAATCCAGATGGTCTCTGCCTCTGAGGATCTATCTCATCATTACACGGCGCTCAGTGAAGTTCATGTAGCTGTTCATTCATTTTTCAATTGTTTATTGAACATTTAATACATGCTAGGAAATGTTTTCAGAAATGAACAAAAGTTCTGGCTCTTCTGGATCATGCATTTCAATGCAATTCAATGAGAAATATTTCTAAGCAACTGAGGATTAAGAAATAAATTTGGAAAATTATATGACTTTTTAAAGACAGAATCTTGCTATGTAGCTCACGGTGGTGTTGAACTCACGGCAGTCCTCCTGCCTCAGCCTCTCATGCTGGGATTATAGATGTACCTCACTACAACCAGAAGTGATAAGCACTATGGCAACCAAAAGAAAATGAAAAATTTTATATGTTGAGCAATTTGGAAGGTCCGGGTATTGGGGGAAGGGGTTGTACTTTGAAATATGATGCCTCAGTGACAGTGCAGGACAGGAAAGGCAATGAGCCACTTGTTTCACTGGTTTTGGTTTTCGTGGTGGTAGAGATGGAATTCAAGGCCTCCTGCAGGTTTAGCAAATACTCTACTACTGAGCTACACCCTGCCCCTGAGTTATGTGGACATTTGTGATAAGGACATGCCAGACAAAGGGGACAGATGTTGCCTGGCTTCTAAGTGAGAATGTGCCTGTCTCTATTGAAGGAACACTACAGTGGAACTGAGCCAAAAAGAACAGTAGCAAGATCTGTGTCCTGAAGGTCATAAGAAACCAGACCTCATGGTGCAGATGACTCATTTAGTCTAAGGAACCCTGAAGGTTCAGGAGCAGAGGGAAGGGTGAATCAAGTTCCACCCACCTGCACTGGAGGTCGTGGCCATCCATATCCTGAATCCCATGGACCCTTTGAGAGAAGTTACCAGGAGATGCAGGATAAATGAGCTGCATTTTTATCCTGTGTCCAGATGTCACTCTTCCTGTAGGCTCCTGGCATCTTCTGCTGCTCCACTTGCAAGGAAACATTGACTTTTGGGTTTAGAGTCCCTCCTTTGTGTCCAGTGGACTTAGAATTATGTAGACTACAACTTAAACACTATACCTCTCATGAATCTATGGTGGGAAGGTTCTCTGCTTTAGTGACAAGTCTAGTACACTTGCCCAATTTGGGCTGAAGCCACCATAACATAAAAATATAAAACTTTATCATAAATTAAAACAGTGGATATGATACTCTGAGGAAATTAGGTAATTGCTTCATATTAGTAACTTAACAAAAATCCTAGTTCTTTCTTAAACCAAGTAAACACATTTAATTTGTCTTTAGCTCTATATGCTACATAAAATTAAGTGTGAACCTGTCCTTTCAAAGTTCATAAAAGAAATTCTAGGATATTTCAAAGGATCTGAGACATAAGAGAGCTGACATGCTACCAAAAAGAAAAGCAACTATAAATATGCTTCATTTAAATTCCAAGGAGCTAATCGGAGACTACTGTTAAGTTCAGTGATAATAAACTTGTTTTAATAAGACATTACTGTTTAGTTACAATTGACATTTAAGACAAGTATGTTTAGATTAAATCCAGCACAAGGGAAATGAGCCAAATTCAAGATATGGCTATTTTAGACCACCCTCTGTAGATAATCTGCTATCTAATCACTTCCTATTTCTGTTAATATTATTTTAGTGTTAAGATGTTGTAAGAGCCAAGAAGGGCTAGCAGTCAATTTAGTCAAAGACCAGAACAGAGCACATCTTCTTTGAAAGCATCTTGGTAGAAATTGGGAGTGGAATGTCTCCCTCTGATAATTTTAGTTTACAGTGATGTGGATTCAATGGTTGTTCATGTTTCTCTCAAAGCAGCAGTTGCATAGTGGCATTTTTTTGAGAAAGACAGAGAAAATTTTGAAAGTCATTCAGGGCAGAAGAGGGTAGAAATGCATGGGTAAGTTTTGTTTAGGAGCAAAAGAGCCAGGCCTGCTGCTCTTGGCATTTGTAAGCTGCTCCTGTGGAATGATGTTGGCAGGCTGTGGATGAAGAGGATCGTTGTCTGGTGGGGTGTAAGCCTGTTCCAGGTTGTTGTCATATTATGTTCCCTTACATTGGACACCAGGTGGGAGATGGGTTTGAATGTGGCTCCAGGGAGTCCCAGGCACCTCAGTCCCCAACTTGGTTCATTCTTAACTCCTATGGCAGGTTACTGTAGACTAGGAGACTTGTAAACAACAGGAGTTTATTTCTCACGGTTTTGGATGCTGGGAGTCCTGGATCAAAGTGCCGTAAGATCTGCTCTCTGCCCCTCGCAGACAGCCACCTACTCGCCCTATGATTCTCATCCTAACAGAAGGGGTGAGGGAGGAAGCTGTCTGTGATCTCTTTTATATGAGCATGGATCTCATTCATGTGAGCCTCTCCTTCATGACCAATCACCTCCCACAGACCTAGCTCTTAATATATCATCTGGGAATTAGGGTTTCAGATATTAATGTAGGGGTTACTCACATTCATATATAATGTGACATTAGGGCATTGGGTAGGGATGCCATAGACGGTATTGAGACTATTCTCAGCAATCTTCAAATCCTTGCATTTTATCCAGGTGCATATTGCCGTTACACTTGTCATGCCAACCCCAGCCTCATCTTCCACCCATGGCTTCTTGGATTTCCTGTGCTCTCGGAACTCTGCCTGGCCTCCTTGTGGAGTTCTCTCACTCTTGATTAGACATTTAAAATGCTAGTCCTCCTTGGAGAGGCTCTCTGGACCCCCCTTTTTTTTTCATGACACATTGTCTAGTGTATGGTGAGAGTTTTTCCTACTTGAAAAATTATTTGAAAATTGTTCTCTTTATACTGATTTATATTTTAACTATTAATAATACCTGACTATTCTGATGAGCTCTGTTTGTAAGAATGATTTTCACTAACTGACTATTAAGTACGTTACAGAATGAATTGTTTGTTTTTAAAACTAATAGGCCCTAGTAACCATGTAATTGTATTTCCAGCATGCCCATGCATCATAATATTCTTTTATTTTTCTCTGTTGTTCCTTTACCATTATTTCCTCGGTTTTTCAAAAATATTATTTTCCATCTTAACATGAATTTGAAAAGGTTTTTAATTATTGCAGTGCCCACTCAGGCATCTGGGCAGTGAGCTTCCCCAATTTTCACCCAATTTTGTTTTGAGTCATCTTTTTAGTATTTTATTGGTAGGAATTCTGTGCATATTATAAAGATTAACACTTCAAACATATGTAACTTGCTAATTTCTGTGATCTTTTGATAGCATTTTTTATTCTTGGGCTGTGTATCATACAGAGGTCTTAAATTTGATGTATTCACCTTTATCGACCACTTTATGACTTCTGCTCTTTTGAGTTCCTCTGGAAAAGCATTTTCTTTCCCAACATGCAGATGATAGCCTCATATAATTTATTTCAAAGACTGTGAAACTTTGTTCTTCTTGCTTAGCTTGTTAATCCACCTAGAGTTTAATGTAGGAAGATAATGTAGGGATACATATCCCTAGAATCTGATCATTTTCCTTATAAAAACCAGTTTTCCCAATACTTCATGTTAACTAGGCCTTTTTTTCCTCATTTATTTCTAACATTTCCCTCGTTTTATTCTAAACTTGTGTGTGTGCCTAATTAATTTATTGGTTCATTTTAATGAGCAAGTGAGATGAATATTCCTTTCAAACAACAACCAAAGGGTGTTTTGTTGTGGATGTTAATTTTCCTTTATTTACTAGCAGAATAATAATACAAGCTATTTAAATGTGGGCCACACTGAATTTAATAGTCTACTTAATAAGATTATTTATCTTCTTCTTTCTCCTCCTCCCCTTTTTTCTCTTGTCTTTCTCTATCTCGTCTCCCCCCCCCCCCCACTTCATCGGTTTACCCAGCATCCAAGTAGGTCCAAGTCTTCCACACTGGGAAGGAGTGACACAAATTGTCTTACCCCAGACAGGTGACTGCTGACCAAAAGCATAGGTGACCTGCATTTCCTGCAATTTTAACAGTGTCTTTTAATTTCAAATTTTATTGTATGAATCTGGCTACAAAGCAATGGTGCATTTTCCAGAGAGAAGGATAAAACTTCTGCAGATTATCTTGTGTCTCCAAAAACTTCTCTTGTGTATTTTTGTAAACTATTTTACAGTAAAATGGGACATGACTCGAGATACAACAATGTTGATATTTCCCCAAGTCCGACCCTTCCTGTATGAAGGAATGTCCCAGTATAAATATCCCTAAGGCCTCTGCCAGGGTAGGGAATGTTAAAATATACCGTAGCTTGTTTTTCCTGCATGATTTTTACCATCTCCTTGCTTTACCTTTTCTACCATGTGCCAATGTCATAGCCGTTAGTTACTCACCCTCTGTAGTGAGTGGTGATGCACATCCGTAAATGACCTTCCTCTGCATTGCTCTCCAAGTTCACTTCAGCTTCAATCTGTATAAAACTTCATCACCAGTTATCAAACGTTTCTGAATCTGGTGAACAATATGATATTGAGTGTTCCCAACTATGAATCTGGTTGAAAATTACCATTTAAAAATATGTGACTCAGTAATATTTTGTAATTCTTAGCCATATTTTCTAATCAGGGAAGATATGTAGCAGTGTTCTTTGTATCTAGCGACATGGTATTAAGTATCCTCTTAATTCCAAAAGCTTGTCTGTGGAGATGGTAAGAGGGAGGGAGAAAGAAGGAAAGATGCTTCAGATGTGTTATGTACATGTAACAATTCCCCGAGGCATTTGTAATTATTATGTATCACAAACATACAGTAATACAAAGAAACAAAAAACAATTCCTCCTTAGGTTAGGAAAAAACTCACCTACTGATTTTTTTATTTTTATGTAAAATAATGAAACTTACTAATTATTGAAACTCTCAAACCCTTACTAATAATTTCCTTTTTTCCTGTTATTGTTTGTTTTACTGGTTTGCTTGTTGGTTTTGTACTGATTAGAACTTTGAATGCAATTTTCTATAAATACAAAGGATAATGAGAATTCTTTTTCTTGATTAGCAGAAATGCTATAATTGTCACCATTAAACTTGACATTGCTATGGTTATGAATAAATCTGTGGTTAGAGTATCTTCCTCTATTTAAAATTTACTAAGTTTCTAATATAAATGTGTATTGAGTTTGGTTTAGTCTTTCACCAGCATCCAGAATTATACTCACATATTTTCCTCCTTTAACTTGATAATATGGCAAATCTCAATGGCACATTTTAAGATGCTGAATCATTCTTGCATTTCTGGAGTAGATTCTTAAGTCATGATTTTATGTTAAAGTTTTACCTATTGTTTAAACAATCATTAATTTTTAAAAACCAATATTCTGGGTTCTCTTGTAGTTGTACCCACAATACATTATCATTCTTTGATTTATCAACTTTCCCAATTTTTCCATCTAGCAAAATATTCTCCCTTTTCTCCTGTTCCTCCTATCTTGCCCACCCCTATTTAATATTCATGATTTGGCTTAGAAATCACATCCAAGACCATCGCTACCTGAAGGAACTAAGTGTTCTCCATCCTTTTACTTTTGTAGTAACACACACACACACACACACACACACACACTACAGTGGACCCTCGAAATTTACAGTGCATCTGTACAGTGCACATTCCTAGAGCACCTGTAAATTGTGAAGCACTTGCGAATTGTGAAAAAACCACAAATTTCAGATCTGATCAGGAAAATGCCTACAAATGCCTGTTATGCTACTGAAGCATAAATTTTTAGTTACCAAAATAAATTTTATAGTTTAGCTTTCTCCTGGAATTTCTTAAACTTTGTCTGGCATTTAGGTTCATTGCTAGAAGCCTTAGGAGGTGCAGGACATTTTGGTGGCATCTTAGAGATTTTAGCTCTTTAAGGGGAACAAAACTGAGACCACTCTAGAGAGCTACATGAGATGCATCAGGCTGTATGATGCAGGGATGCTGGTGCATCTTCCTTAGATGGGTTATAGGGCAGCAGCCAATCAGCAGAAAGGAGAACTGAATAACACTCTTGGATTGGCTACTTGCAAACCAACCTCCTGCCAAAGAAACAATTGTAAAAGACATTTGAAGTTTCCTTGAAATTACAGACTGCTATTTTGCAAGGTATACTATGCATATACATGGCAAGCTATACTTCAAACAAGGTCTATTTATTTTTTTCAGATCTCATGAGGATATAGAGACGTGTACAAAATTTGTGTGTGCACACATGCATACACACTTTTATGGATTAACATGCTTGTGTGTTATTTACACATGTAGAGTTATAAACAGTAGCAATTATTAAAAATATTTAGGGATCAGAGCTGATCCTGTGTTTTTTAGTTCCTAACTAGCTTCCAGATGGACCTTAAAATAAGTACAAAGCATTTTTATAAACATCCCTTATTAAAGTTTTTTTGAGGATGCAAGTTCTTATTTGGGACAAGGAAGTGTGTAATCCTCAAAAGAATCAAGTATATGAGAAACATTTTCATAGGACTGATGTTAACCCATGTTTTCTCAACTGCATTTGTTAAAATAGCTATCCTTTAAAGTATCCTATCAAATATGACTCAGTACTTAAATAAATTTGAGAAATTCTGCATGTGCTACTGTCGTGATAGCATTAGCGTATTAAAACAGAGATGCAGTAAGAAGTCATATCTCGAAACCTAATGGATATAGAATAGACCTTTTGTGTGAGACAGAACTGCTGTCACCATCTCAAGGAACTGGAGCTTCCCATGTGGCTGTGCTGTAGCAACAGAACTTACTAAGTGGAAGTTGAGATGTGGTGGAGAAAGCAGGATACTTGTAGTGTAGACAGGCAGCGTGGCTTCAGGAAATCAAGCATAAAGTTTGAGTACCCTAATGAGTACAGACTCATTGAGTGTATATCGTTTCCTTAAAAAATTTCATTTTATAAAGGGATTCTTTCATTGAAATAAGTAAGGAAATATATTAGTTTCTTTAAATTGTACTACATTTTACTGCTTTCCACTATTAACAAACATTTATCTTTTCTACAATCATAAGATCATGAGGTGTGATAAAAATATGTTTACATTTTTAAAAATGTAAATGTGTCTTTTTCACTAAAAGACACAGTGCCTTTAATCTCCCTCAGAACCCTCCTTCTCATTTCCAATACACTTACCGATCATTCTCTTTACTTTCTGAGGCAGTCTGGAAATCCTTTTTCATGTCTTTAATGAAGTGTGATCAAAAATAAAGTCAAGGCTGGTTTCTGTGCCACCCAACCAAAAGGCAGGCTGGTAAAATCATTAAGATTTGTCCTTCTCTGCCTTATTCACTGGATCTGGCAAAGTGCAATTTATGACATTCTCAAAGTCACAGTGACCTTGAAAGTTAACATTTGGAGTCCATTGAGGGTGCCAAGTCTGCTGTAACAGAGCAATTACAGATAGTCAGGAATGAGGACTTCCAGAAAAGCCCCCAAAAGTGGCAAGACCCATGAGACAAGAGTATTCAAAGCTGAGACAAGGGAGAGTATTCTGAGGGGGATTCATTGCAATGTCCTTTACTGAAATAGATGCTTGAAAGTTCAATATTCACTGTACATTTCAATCACACCTCATCTATGCAAAGATGTAAATCTAAATCTATGTGCAAAGGCTGAACATATATGCAAATATAAGATTATATTTTGGAATACCTTTATATAAACCTTACTTTGTAGATGACTCTTTATATAATTTTCAGGAAATGGCTGTATTATTCACTTCTTCGAATTTCCTGCTTATGTATAATGTTAAATATTATTTAAAATGATATAAGCATTTGCTTTTTTATAATATATTCATCTCTTCTTTAACAGATACAATATAAAAAGTTACTTATTTTTTCTCTTTCTTAATTACCCTTTCTTCATAACACTTTTCGCTACAGTTTGTACGTGTTATTTTCTTGGTATTGTCTGAATGTGTTTCTGTCCTTTCCTTAGTGGGATGAAAACTTTCTAAGGTTAGGGACATTGTCTCTTTTGTTTTCAGCTGTGCCCTGCTATGTAGTAAAATATCAATAAATATTTGAATTAATGAAATAATGCAAATCGCTCCTGTATTGTTGATTGGTCATAAAGAAGAGTCCATACTTTAAGAATGCAAACAACATTAGTGTGCAAAAGAAAAATGTCTTTAAATTACTCCCCTCAAATTGCTGCATCTGGTTTAAAAAAAGAGAATTTTAATGTTGTAGAATTTCTTAGAGTTCCAAAAATGTTACAAACTTCTGAATAACCAATGTGATTTCAATGTCATTTTTTATCTAAGTTTTAAAACTTTAATATTAACTTAAATCCCAAGATACCAGATACAGAATTTTCAATGGAGTAATTACACTAGGAGTGGCAAAGATCAGTCTCCACTGCTGTGGAGAAATGCCATCTGTATAAAAAACATACAGACAAACAAAACTTTCAATCCTTTGGCAAATCTCCTTTTGCCCATAATAGGGTACAGACCCTTACCCATGTGGAAATTTAGCCCTGGAAGAGGAACAACCTAAGGTGAAAAATTAGGATTTCTGCTGTTCTAACAGGAGATGAAAAAGCAATTGCCAATAGAAGCTTTTAATTGCATACAGATTGGCTTTTCATTTTGCTGCAGTCATTTCTATTCAAGTGTTAGGGAAGAGGAAGTATTACCTCCACGCTTACACCCGAGATCTGCTTCCACTTAGCAGGCCAAGGAAGTTTCGCCTTCATTCCAGAGCTGCCACCCTTGTAAATCCACTGTGAGATGAGTTGGGTGTAGTGGCTCCAAATAGCAGCGGTAACTGCCGTCTGCTTCACGCTGGCTCACTCACATGGCAGCTCTTGGCACTGCTGCGACAGCTCTCCAGGCCCTTTTCCAATCCTCCCATGGAGCAAGGAGAGAAGAGAAGGTGCCCTGGAACAGAGTTGGGAGCCCCGTGTGCACTGCAGTTGATCTAATGAAGCAAAATGATCAGGGCTTAGGACCCTCCAGGGTCTCCTCCCTTTTGCACAACATCTCTCAGACCCCAAGGGAGGATGCAGGGTGGGGGGTGAGAGAACCCCCAGCCCTGTGTAGGGGTCTGCATCAGGAGGCACAGAGAAGTCCTCAAGGGGAAGAAATCCAAGCCAGTGAGCTGGAGAGGGACCAAGGCTTCGGCAGAGTCAATGGCAATTATTTCTGTAAAAATATAGACCTTAGTCACTCACAGACTGATCCTTCCAAGAAAGAAAATAGCTGAGTTATGAGCATAAAAAAACTCACGTAGCCAAGGCTTCTGCAGGAAATGGCTTTTCCTTAAGCCACGTCAGCCTCAGAATCCATCCTGCCTTTGCCCACCGTACCCCTGAACCCCAGCTTCACCGTCACTCTCTGTACTGTGTTCAGACACTAAATCATGCTCCAGACATGGCCACTTCCTGCTTTGTCTTCTACCTTACACAATTTGGTGTCTAATTATGTTGATACTCTTATTTATTTGCTGTGTAATGATGGCTCCTTCTGAGAAATATGTTTCTGAGGGGAACGTATTCTGAGGGGAAATATATTTGGACCACTTGTGTTTTGGAGACAATTCTATGTGCTCTTGTGATACAGCAAATTGACCAAGTGCCTCTAATGAGTCATTGCACACACTTGCCCAATACAACCTGAATGCACACAGGAATCTGTAAGTACAGAAGAGATATTCTGATAGGATTTTGAGCAAAAAGATTACAGTACCACACTCACTCTCCTAACCAGTGTCCTGGCCACTAAGGAATAGATTCAGTAAGGTCCACGTATCTCCTCTTGCAAGCCAGGAAAAAATAAGACTAAGCCATCTAGTATAAAAAATTGGAAGGAACTGGTTGTTACATGAGTGTCCCCAAAATCCCTCTATGGCACAAAAGAGTGGAAATAATACAAATCAACAGGATCTAGGAAGGAAGTCTGAGGCACAATAAAATTTTTGATTTATTGCAATAGTGACTCATTAATCGAGTAGCTCCAAATAAGATATGGCTCAGGGACTCCACTGAGGAAACTCACTGGAAAGCTTTTATAGGACAGATGGAGAAGAAACAAAGAAGGCATTTGATTGGTGCAGTCATAGAGGACATGCTTTGGTTCATCCCATTGGAAAATCCCTATTTAAGTGGCTGCTTCTGATTGGTTGAGCTTTTCTTTTAGGCATTTACAAGGAAAAGCTCACATCACACTTTGTGTTTCCCCTTCAAGTAAGTAGAGGTCACTTATGAGGTCAGCCTGCTATAGGCTGCTCAGGGATTCTGTAGGCCAGGGCTCTATTTAAAATTATTATAAAAGTTTAAAGTCAAGTAAGTAAATAAATAGTGATGGAGAGAACAGTTGCAACACATCAAAGCAGAGAAAATATTTTGATCTATCATTCTACAAATAGCTTTTGTAAGTAAAAAAGAAAAAAAAATCCTCTCTTTAAAAAGAGAAGACAAAAGGTATAGAAAGATAATTCACAGAAGATAGTACTCAGTCTCCTTGTCAGCAATTAAAACCACAATGAAATGTTTTCTCCTAACAGATCAAGGAAAAAAAACTAAAAGGCTGCTAATCTTGACTATTGATTAAATGTGGGGAAACACCACATTCATAACTCTTGGTGGACTTGTTCTTATCTCAGCCACTTTGGAGAGTAATTTGGGCAACTGAACCACATTTTTAAAATGCATACTGTTTATCTCAGTGCACTAAGCATAAATCCATGATGATGCCCAAGATTCCTGCCTGCTGTGTACATCCTCTGCACAGTCCCCTCCTTTGGTTGTGAGCAAAGCCTTTGTGTGTGATGGAATGCCAGGCTCTTGATCAGGTTACATCCCATAGCAAAGATAAAGGAACCTTTAAGCTCCCATACAAGTTGATGATGAATTAGTCCACAGGGTGATTGTCCTAGGTGGTCCTATTTTAATCAGATGAAAGTTCTCCAAAGAGAGACTAGGTCTTCCTAAAGGAAGAGATTCTCCTGCTGACCCTGAACTGCCCTGTTGTGGAAGGACCTAAGATAGGATCATGTGGCAAGGACCTGTGGGTTTCTAGGAGCTAAGAGTGGTCACCATTGTGTGCCAGTAAGAAAGCAGAAACCCACAATTGTACTGTCTCAAAACTAAATTCTTCTAACAATCATGTACATTTGAAAGAATAAGTTCTAGAAAGACAAGCTGCCCACCCAGTACCTTGAACAGAGTCTGGCAATGCCTCAAGCCAAGAATTTCATCCAGATTCCTGACTCACAGAAACCGAGATCATAAAATACACTCCATAGAGACATTATGTTTATGATGATCTGTTACAGTGTAACGGTGCCTAAAGCTTCTAGAAATATAACACAAAAACAATCTGACAACTAGAGCATCACACATACAACTGGCTCTTTAAAAATAATTTGCAATAATCTGATGTTTTAGTCAGTCATGATTTAGAAGAAAATGCAGACTCTAAATTGTCAGGACTGCCTCATTTGGTTAATTTTCTTTCCCGAAGGAACTGCAACATAGCAGGAGCAACATGCTTTGAAATTAAAATAGTTTCGTGTATTTGTGCACACATGCATGTTTTAATGGGATTATTTAATTAAAGAAGACCCAACAGTAAAGCTCTCTAACACAGCTAAAGCAAATGCAGGACTTTGTTGTGTCTGAGAACCTGAAATTTATTTTATGGAAAAGAAGGAGCTCTTGTTCTTTCTGCAGCAGCTCTGGGGGTTTCACTGTTATTTCAAACAGTTGTTTATGGGAGCACAGCTCATCGGCTGTTTAAAGAGTAACAAAGCTGGGTCTTAATGCTTTCTAATGTGGTTGCTTAAATTATTCTTTCTCTGGAAAACTAAATCCAAGATGGCAGCTGCTGAGGCTAAATGTGCTTTGGGGGTTTCTTAAGATGGAATGTATAAATTACCGCTCTTATAATGTGCAGTTTAATGAACTCCACTCATGTATGATTCATGCCAGTGATTCCTCCATGCACTGAAAACCCCTAATCACTTTCACTTGCTCTTGAAACTAATCATTTGGTTGTAATGTAAATATTTGCATATTTAAAACTCAAGTGTTATTTGCAGTAGCCCCACCTTATCCACCTGGGATACATTCTAAGGCCCCAGGGAATGCTTGAAATCACACACAGTACCAAACCCTACCTATAAGCACTGTCTTGTTGCAGCAGTCAATCTGATAACCAAGCCCACTACTCAGTGACCAACAAGTGGATAGTGTATTCAGTAAGAATATGCTGGACCAAGGTATGATGCGTCTCCCAGACAGGGTGAAGCAGGAAAACACAAACTTTCATCGCACTTCATAGAATGGCGTGTAGTTTAAATGTATGAATTATGTATTTGTGGAATTTCCCATTTGAAATTTGTGGCCTGCAGTTTCCTGCAGGTAAC